TATATATATATACCGAGCGGTATATCCTGGTGTACCGCTCGGTACTTTGTATCATACTGTACCAAGCTATGCTCGAAACTCCGGTACAGGACGAAATTACGATCCTTGATACAAACTATGCCAATTCAGGTTTGCAAGCTGTTGCAATTGTGGACATATATGAATAGCATTATCTGATTAAAATTTAAGCAGGATGAATATTTATTATCCATCATTTAGTCAACTCTTTTATTCAAAAAGAGCATCTTAAGAAAATCTAATATCATGGTTTAAAAGGTTTAAGTGGTGTGGACAGAAACAGGCTAGACACCTGCTCTTAAATAGCTGTATATGAATTTAGTTGCATGGACCCCAAACTTTTGGGAGCCTATGGATTATGTATGCTTGATCATACCATAGCGTGCTCATATCCTTGTAAATTTACCACAAGCTATACTTATAATGGGGTTTCTTTATTTATTTTTGTTTTGGAATCATTACTTCTGTTTACAAAATGAATAAGACGTAACTAAGTTGGACCTCTAATCTTTCATAGGTGGGTTCTAAAATGTCATGCTTGCAATAATGTGACACAAGAAATTGGGAGGATCTTTTGTCCAAAATGTGGCAGTGGTGGCACCTTAAGAAAGGTTTCTGTAACAGTTGGTGAAAATGGGATTATAATGGCTTCACGTAGACCGCGTATCATCCTTCGAGGCACAAAAGTATGTTACTTGTTCTTTCTAATGCTCAGCAATTTTCTCTTTTACTGCCCAGTTTTCTTGTTAATTGAAGCATATGTTTTATTCATGAATCAGGTAATGACTGTGCTTGATCATCTTAAATTCACTATGTAAAAATATCACGAGACTTCACTTTGCTTTTACCATAATCTTTTGCAAGGCATCTTCAAGACATGACAAATGCTGAAATACATGATTTTCCTCGTTTGAGAATTAAGAAAGCAAATAACAAAAGTTGTATTGTGTAGGTTATGGAACATGTTATTGGTAGCAGTGTTATAAGTATCTTTGGATGGAACAGTCTGTGAAAGTAGGTGTCTTTTAACATGCTGCAAAACCAGAGTAGAAGGTCATGGCTATGAGGGATACCCCTTCAGCAAGGGTATCAAGTTAGTTTATTACATGTTTATGTTACGATTACTTTCTATCTTATGTCAATTATCTTATGATGGTTTTTATGAATTATTCGTTAAACAGATTAAATTATCCTTTTTCCCTAAATTCTGTACCCTGAAGTGATTTTACTTTTGTTTGAAGGTGCTCTGTGCAGCAATATAGGTTAAAGGTGAAGATTCTTTAGTTTTACTCTATTGTCATCATAGATTGATGTTTTCTTTACCAATTCTTCCTTCCATTCAAACATTACATAATATGCATACTAGAAGCTTATAGAGGACTTGAACTCAAGGCCTGTTAACTTTGCACACTGCACCTACACCACTAGGATGATGTTAATTGGATATTTTAGGGCCACTTCGATCACCTTTATCGCCATTACTATATGTTCTAATCATCGCTTTTTCATTTCACCCTAATTTGTTGGTGATGGCAAAAAATAAAGATGCCATACTTGGTACTGCATATTGTCCATTTCTTGCAATGCTGTGCTATATACTGGTGTAGGATCATGTATGTACCTTGGAGACCACTAGACTAGCACAGCAAAAGGGGTGCATTCATACTGCTTGTTGGACTGATGCCAGCATGGTGTGTAGACTGTCACATTCGTGGTTTATTTCTTCAACTATAATGTTCTTGGGCTTTAGTAGTTGACATATGAAATCAGTGTCTCTTTCCACTGAGATGCCTGTAGCTTAGATACAACCTAATGGGTGATTATAATTCTTCATCCTTCATCAAGTTGTAGCTTAAGTTACAACCCGATGGGTGATTATAATTCTTCATCCTTCATCAAGTTTGATTTACTGCTGCATATAACCTGACTAGCAATTACTTTGAGGTTATTTCTAGACTGAACTGCCAACTATTGATTTTTTTCTTTGTTGGGTCTTGAGTTACAAGATAGAATGATTCAGTAAAATTTTGTTATATTGTAGGGAATTTTTTATAGTCTATTTTGCTTGAACATTAACTATTCACTAAACTTAAAGGAGGATGACAGGAATTCTACAGATTACTTGAATTCAATAAATTATTTTTTTGCTAGTTTTACTAATTATATTGTTCTCTAAATTCTGAATAATGACAAATGTTAAATTTCTTTTTCCAGTTTTCACTTCCGTTGCCTAAAGGTGGAAGAGAAGCCGTCGCAAAAAATCTCATCTTACGAGAAGATCAACTTCCACACAAGCTACTTTATCCAAAATCAAAGAAGAAAACAAACAAGCAGGTTATACTATTTTCATGATCATCTTTTGCTGCTACTGTACATCCACTGGCAACTGCATGTAGCTATAATTCATTTTCTTTCTTTTCATTTTATTCTGACCTGATAATTAGATCAATTTGATGTGCATGATTCTATATCATTGCAGGACGAAGACTTTCTGAGCGTAGATGACATCTTTTCTCACTCTGGCGAGAAAAGAGTACCACTCAAGCCTCCTGTGAAGAAAGCACTTGCTATGTTTAGTGGAAGAAGAAATCCTAATGACAATCATTTTTCTCGTCGTAAGCGTTAAAAACTAGATGTTACACACCAGCAGTTGGATATATCTATCCTGGCAGTTTTGTCAAAGGTGTTCTCTCAATTAGGAATGGCATTTGTTCGAAAAATACCGGAGTTTGTTCTACATGCCTGCTATCATGCTGAAATTTAGCTGGTGTTCATAGATTGGGATGCTTGTTTTACACCATGGAGTGCAATGTCAAACTTCAGTTTTGGATATGATCCTTCTTCCGGGTTGAAATTTATTTTAATGGGTTAATTTCTTTAGATTCAGCTGTTCTTGCATCACCACCAGCTCGACCATCTGGTGGGTTTCATGGCTACTTGCTAAGTACATGCTTGTCCCCACGGATTATTTCTTTTGTCATGATAGTTTTTTATGTGTAATATGCTTGCAATTTATGGGGCCATACCTGAAACCTCACATATGAACAGCTTGAGAATAGAAGTGTGATATGATATATTTTAAGGTTATGTGGGCCATCCCTGTATTTTTTATATTTTTAGTGATGCAAATTAAATCACCTTCTGCTTTCTTTTCTCAAATTGATTTTTCAGCAACAAAAGATGTATCTAATCATACGAACAGATGAGCAGATTTAATTAAATGACACAAAACCTGTGACCTCAATCTTAAACTTTTTGAAAATATTTAAATGCAACAGGACATATTCGACATCAGTTAGATGATTAATCTTTTTAAAACGTATCGTGAAAATTATGACGCATGATTTAGTGCAACACCTTTGTTTTTTTAATTTGAGCTTAAGTGTTTTAAATCAATGAATTAGATTCAATGGTTTGTCATGAATTTGGTTAGAAAAATGAGTGATAAACAGGTCTCGATATTTTGTAAAGATAATGATTTTATAAACAATTCAATAAATATTTGGTGTGCAAGAGAGGAAAAGGAGTAAGAAGAATAAACATTGGGGTGTCGAGTATATTAACTTAGGTTATACATGTGATCTTGTAAAGTCAATCAACGCCTAATATTATCCTAAACTATATTAACTTAGGTTTTACATGTGATCTTGTAAAGTCAATCAACGCCTAATATTATCCTAAACTCATATATAGTCCTGTGTCACTCGAGTGGTTTTAGTGTATTGAAATTGGTTGACGTTTTATATTACATCCCTAAAAAAATAGGTCTTGGCATATAAAAATGAAACTATTTTGAGACAATTTTGCCTATTCCGGTAACAATCGCTCTAAAACCATGCAATCTGCTTTTGCTCATAATTTTCAAGCAAGAATACATAAAAACAAGATAAAACATATTGCCAAATTTATATACAAGTAAACAAAAATGACGAACGATCTAACGAAGCTGTTACGGGTACACGACGACTATTCGGGACAATCCTCCCTCACTTAAAATGTCAACGTCCTCGTCGATGCTTAATGGTAGGCTTTGATGATAGTTTCTTCGTGTCGTAGAGTATCTTTAGGCTCCCAATTGGCTTCTATCCAAGGAAGATTTCGTCACTTCATTGGGTCCTTGATTTGTTATGATCCATTATGTAGCCTCATCTTTTGATATACTAAAATTGCTTCAACTCGTTTTTTGTAAAAGGCTCTAGTCGGGGTAGTTGAGTTGAAATATTTTGGGAAGTATCTTGTGGATCTGAATGGTAGACTTTCATGTTACTTACATGGAAGACATTATGAATTTTGAGCCACACTAGCAATTATAACTTGTGAGAGATATTGTCTACCCTAATGATAATTAGGAAAGACCTTTCATACTTGTACACTAGCCTCTTATGCACTTTATGTCTAAAAAACTTGAGTAATGTTGGTTAGAGTTTCACTAGCACCAAGTCATCGACTTTGAACTCTTATGGCTGTCTTCCCAAATCTGCCTACATCTTCATCTTTTTGACTATCTTCTCCAAATATGCTCGAGCAATATATGTATTTTAGTGCCACTATTTTATAAAGTGATATATTGATGGGCTACTTCTAATATAACCGATCACCAATGTGTGAAGAGTTAACGATAACTATCTAGTAATAATCTCAAGGGGGCTCTTATTGGATGCAGAAATTCGTTATAAGTTGTAAGAGAATTGAGCTATATCTAACAATTTCATCCAATCCCATTGGTTGACACTCATATAGTGCCTAAGATATTACTCAAGGAGCGAATTTATTCTTTCAGTTTGGTCATTCGTCTAAGGGTGGAGGCTTGTGAAGAAGTATAACTTGGATCCCAACAATTTAAATAGCTTGATCCAAAACCGTCCCAAGAGTCGCACATCTTGATCGTTGATGATATTATATGGAACACCTCAATACTTTACCATATTCTTCATTATCAACTTGGCTGCCACATTCGTTGAGTAGTGTAGTGGTGTAGAAATGAATATTGCATATTTTGAAAACTAATCGACTATCACAAGTATCGATCCAAGTCCTTCTATCGCTAACAAGCTTGATATGAAGTATAAGAAAATGCTCTTATATGATATTTTTAGTATGAGCAACGACTCGAAAAGTCCCACTGACTTTTGTTATTCTATTTTATCTTGTTGACAAGTAAGTATATCGAATATATTCCTCTATATTCGTCCTCATCTTTGCCCAATAGAAGATTCTCTTTATGAGAGCCAATGTTCGATGAATACCTGGATGTCCTACCAAAAGGGAATTGTGAGACTCTTTCAAAAGTTTATATTTCAAATTATCTACTAAGAGAATATAAACTCCATTCCTTTTGGTGTAGACGAGTCCCTCTTGGACCCAAAATCATCATGTTTTGCCTTATTTAATCAGTTGCATCAAGGTTTTTCCTTGGGGATCACTATACAGTCCATCCTTAATTCTAAAAAGAAAATTAAATTATAATTATCTTGCTTAGCCTTCACTTTCCAATTGTATGACATTCATCAACTTCACTTTCCTACTTAATGCATCAGTCATGACATTTGCTCTTTTGATCTTGTAATTTACTATATCAAATTCAATCAAGAAGTTCTACGGCTGTGCTTACTTTAGGGAGAGCTTTTTCTAAGTTTGAAATTAACTCAATATGATATTGTCTATCCTTAGCACAAATCACGTTCCAAGAAAGTAGTGCCACCATACCCATGTTGAATATCAGATTTTGATGATGAAACCAATTGATAGTATTTATGATTTAATCTGCATTTTGAGTGATGTAGGAAACTTCAATTAGGGAGAGATAATTAAAGCAAGAAGAATCATGTTGGGCTAAAGAAATACATGTCATAAGATTGGACATCATGCCGGAGGATCGGTCGACATATCGACAGAAGGCTTCGGGCCATGGTTTCGAGCATCGGGCTAAGAAGAGCAGATATTGCGCTAAGGATATTTGAATTATGGAGGTCAACTAGCCGATTGGGCAATAGGCCGCAAGAGAGGATGATGCGTCGAAGAATCGGATGAAACATCGAAGAATCAGACGAAGCGTCGATAGACCAATGACATGCCGGACAACATGATTCATGCTTAGTAATAATTGTCTAGATCGAAGTTGGTTTTTATGTGTGTAGGATTAACTACGATAGCAAGGCATAAAGCAAAATGATGTCCCAGAATCAAGAACGCGATTTCGTTGGGAGTTCAAGAGTTCGTTGGAAGTCCGGACGTTCGTCGAAAGTTTTGCCAGAATTGATCGAGAAGTCTTAGAGCTTGCCAAAGAAGCTCGTCGGAACTCGCCAAGAAGATCGTCGTGAAGTCCTGGAGTTTGCCGGGAGTCTGCTGGAATGTTGCCGAGAGATCATCGAAAGTTTGTCGGAAAGAAATTTAGACTTACAGACTTATTTAGCTTAGTAAATGTCTTAAAATTCATAGTTAGCATATAATTGAGATTAGAATTGGATTAACCCAATTAGGGGACAATTGGGCCCAAGTTTAGGTCGTGTTGGGCTAAGAGAAAGGCCCAAACAATGACCAAACAAGTGAAACCGTCATGACACAGTCTCCGAGACTATGTCAGGCGGTGGTACTGCCCATACATAGTCTTCTAGGCAGTGGTACCACCTAGTGCAGGCGATGGTATTGCCCGTACCTTGAAATTTTTGGGGATTTAAATTTTGGCTCCATTTTTGAAGCCATTTGGGGTCTATAAATACCCTAGCTATTCCTGCATGGAGAAAAAATAAAAGTGAACAAAAACTCTGTGTTTCTAGAGTTGAAAACCCTTGTAAAATATAGTGTCCCTCCTAAAATTTAGAGACTAGTCTAAGGGAGAGTGTGAGGGTAGCTTTGTAAAAAGGGGGTGTAAATGTTCTCTCCTGAGCTTGCAAAAGAAAAATAGAGTTGTAAGAAGGAGATTGATCTTTACCTATTAAAGTAAGATCGTTAGTGGATACCGGTGGCCTCGACGGAAAAGGAATCGGTGGAGTGGATGTAGGTCACGACGACCGAACCACTATATCTCGGTTTGCATTTACTTCTTGCAATTTACATTTACTGCAAATTGCCCTTCTTTACTTGCTTTACATCCATTACACTCTTCTGTTTGCTTTCAAGTTAACATCTTCTGAAATGGGTTTAATCGCAATGAGATTTTCAAACCGATGTAATTTTTACCACTACACTAATTCACAACCCCCCCTCTTAGTACCGACTCGTTCATAACAGTTAGTATCATAGCCACGTTTTTCTCATTTGGTTTAGCACCTAAAGAGAAATGACTCTTTTCGGCTTCCAAGAGGGTCACTCTCTCATTTGTTCTCCCATGTTCAATGGGACGGACTATACCTATTGGAAAATGATTTTTTTTCGAGAGGCTTTCAAGAGCTTTTTTGCTTTCCTTGGATTTGAATTTATGAAATATTATCGAAAATGATTTTCAAAAGTCTTCTACTCTAATGAAAGAATGGAATGATTTGGAGAAGAAAAATTTTTCCTTAAATGCTAGAGCTATGAACGCTCTATTTTATGCTTTGGATAAAACTGAGTTTAATCGGATTTTTACTTACGAAACAACTTTCGATATATGACACACTCTCGAAATCACACACAAAGGCACTAGTAGAGTAAAAGATTCTAAAATAAATCTTTTAATGCATGATTTTGAACTTTTTTGAATGAAGCCAAGCGAAACCGTTGTTGACATGTACACCCATTTTACAGATGTCGTCAATGGTTTAAAAGCTCTTGACAAATGCTTTTCGAACCTTGAACTTGTAAACAAAATTTTACAATCTCTTTCTAAAACTTGAGATCCTAAAGTAATGATCATTTAAGAGACCAAAGATTTGAATACTTTTTCGATCGAAGAACTTATCGAGTCT